ACCACTTTCTTATCATTTATTAATTCCTTAACTTTTATATAAATTCACAAAAATCACCCAACTTAAAAAAGTTTGGTTAATTAGCAGAGACTTAGATTGTAGTATTTAAAAGGGACAAAGGTAATATTGACCAGCCAAAAATATATCTAAATTTACGCTTTTAAAGAGACTATGATTGCTCGGAGGAATAGGAAAAATTACTAAGCATGCAAGATTCTTCAAAAGGTTAGCACCCAGGAGTCTATCTAGCAGCAAGGAACATACAATGAGATGACAATGATCTTAAATTTCTTGGTAATTCCATGAAATATTCAAACTAACAAAGGTAAATTAAAAGGATAATTAATCCAGAACAAAGTCATCTGCCTATCCTCATAGTTATATCTTCATAGTTATATCCTCATAGTTATTGCTCATTGATAAACCCGACAACCCCTCGCGGGCCCCACCGCCGACCCATGTCCGGCCACCGTCGAAGTGCTCAACCCGACCTGAATATCATCACAGTACACTTTCAGACCGTAATATTCCGTGCTCCAAGCCCAGGACTTGAACCAGACATCCGTATGAACCCTAACCCCAAATCTCACCACTGCGTCGTCCAACCGAATCATGTCCTCATCATTAACATAAAACCCAACCGTCCCCAATTTCACTTTGAGGTCCGTGGTAGTCTGGGGGCCCTGGGAGAAGGGGAACATCGGTGTGGTAGCAATCACGAAGTCGTTTGTGCGAAGGACGGAGTAGCCGACGTAACCAGTGCTGTAGAGGACTGCAACATGTACCTTGTCATGGATGACGCTCCACTTCTCGTGGGGGTTCAGAATGGCGATGGAGATGTTGAAGTCGGATGTGAGAGAACGGGAGGAGAGATTGAAGTTGGAGACTTCGAAGCTAGAGACGGAGAATTCAGGAAAGCCGGGGTGGTAGATTGCGCACACGGCGATGGTGATGAGGACGCCGATGATGAAGAGGAGGGTGAAGATCCCGACGAAGATGTCGATGTCAGGGTTTTTGGAACGGCGGTTGGAGTTAGCGTTTGGGAGTTTAGTATAGCGGGGATTGCTTGCTGTAGCCATCGGATGAACAAAAATTGTGGATGAACAAAAAATTGGGGGATTTTCTTTTAGGGTTTATACGGGGAGGCAACTGGGGTGCATATATATAGAGAGAGAGAGAGGAGGAGGAGGAGGCTAAGCCTGTGAATTTGGAACTTTCTAGGTACCCTCTTGAAAAATGCAAGCGATCCCAAAGTATTTAGAAGGTGGTTAGGTTGATGAGGTGGCTTTCAAACATTGGATCTTTACAATCATATTTTAAGATTGGTGGGGCTATATTATGCGTCTAAGGGGCTATTTGCTTGGATTGAAATGAAGCTACATACAAGAGTAAATAGAGTAATATAAATGGACTTAGCATTTTGTAGAAATTTTTTTTGCAAAGATCCATTTGGTTCGCAATTTGATCCATTTGGTTCGCAACTTTGTGGTTAGAAAATATAAATGGACTTAGCATTTTGTAGAAATTTTTTTTGCAAAGAATGCTACCATTATCATTACTTTAATTTCAAAAAAAAAAAAAAACTCCAATTCATTAATTAAGGATTAAAACAACTCAAACTTTATGACTAACATATATTCAGATATTTCACTACACTAGATTGGATGCACGTTCAACGCACGTGGTTAAATATCATTATTCTTTCAGGTGTATTTTCTTACTTAACTTGGTTGTGAAATTTTTTTTATTTCCATGTGAAAAATTAAAGTCATTTCTTGTCTACATAACTATATAGTTAATCAAAAGTATTAAACTTACCATGACCAAAGTCAAAATTACATGGTCAATTCATTAAGTACAATTTATAATAAATAGTATATGAAGGAGAAAATCCTTTTATGAAAAGTTGTGACTTTTATGCAAATAATTTCATTCCCACCATAATCCAATGTTGTCATCTTATTATTTGCACAAATTCACAGTATAATATTCTAATATTTATACCCTACACAATTTAATAATCTAATAATTACCCCTTTAATGTGATGTCCCATGAGGCTAATCTCCTCTTAAAAAAAATGATCATATACAAAATTTTGGATGCACAAAAAATTGGGGGATTTTTTAGGGTCTATAAAGGGACGCAACTGGGATGTGTGTATGTATGTATGTAGGTGTATTGTAACCCTACCCTATATATATATATATATATATATATATATATATATATATATATAATATATATATATATTATATATATATATATATATGAGAAAATGAGTATGCTTGGTACCCAAGGCACAAATCTGCGCGCTTATGCTCGGTAGTGTGTGGCATCATTCATCATCAACTCATTCAAATGGTGACATATGCCTCATGCACTTCCCTAAACCATTGTGAATTTGGTCCCGGCCCATTTTGAATGAGTGGAAGAGAATATGTCACCGTCACTAGGCGAGCACAGAAATTTGCGTGCTTGGTACCAGCAAACCCATTTTTCTCATATATATATACATACAATAAATATGTATATACATATATACTATATATATACATATATATATATATTATATATATTAATATATATATATATATATATATATATATATATATATATATATATATATATATATAATATATATATAAATATATATATATATATATATATATATAGTATATATATCTATATATACATAAAATATGTATATATATACATAAATATGTATATAATATACATAGTATATAATATATATATAATAAATATATAAAATATATATATATATATATATATATATATATATATATATTATATAATATTATTATAATATATATATATATACACACACACTACAACAAAATACAACATTGCCGACGAAACAAAAACGTCGGCAAAAATCTTTCTTGACGTAAAATGCAGCGTCGCTAACGCGTCACCAAAAGTGCGTCAAGGAAAGTATTTGGCGACGCAAATACACCGTGTCGTCAAAAGTAAAAGTACACTTTTGGCGACGCGTCATGCGTCGGGAAAAGTATATCTTTTAGCAACGCATAATATTTTGCGTTGGCAAAAGTATACTTTTGGCGACGCATGCAGCGTCGGCAAAAGCTATGCGTCGGTAAAAGTATAGTTTTTAGCGACGCAAAATTGTTCGTCGCTAAAAACTATACTTTTGGCGACGCAGGTTAGCGTCGACAAAAGTGCAGTTTTTACAGACGCAGAGTGAAGCGTCGCTAATCTATACTTTTGCCGACGCAAGATAACGTCGGCAAAAGTATAATTTTTGGCAACGCATAATTATGTGTCGGTAAAAAGTATAATTTTGTCGACACTAATTTGCATCACCAAAAGTAATATATTTTCTATCAGCTACAAGCCTACACTGAACCTGAACATCCACAAAAAAATTGCTCCCATTCACATCAACAAAGAAACCAAACATCAAATTATACTGCAAACAAGTTGTATATTATGATAAACAAAGAATTTGCTCCCATTGCAAATTAATTACATTCATTTCCAAGTTAACACTCAAATGCCTGTTTAAATATTCCAGTTTGTCATATTTGGTGTTTTCCATTTCAGAGAATGACACATTATAAGATTTACAGGAAACTAAACTAAGTTGAAAAAAAGAAAACTTGAAGTGAAAAAATGGCACGATCAGTGAACCTCTTCACATATGAAGGTATATTCTCTGGTAGAGTTTTTGCGACTCTGTCTAACTCCTGCATTTGTTGCTTTGCAGTCACTCTATCAGGGCCACAGTACATATCCATAAGCTCTTTCATGTGTGGTAGCCTTTCCATCAGTTCTTTGATTATTTCCTAGTAGGGCCTGTTCGTTTATTTCCTAAAAACCAAGAAATGGAAATGAAAAAGGTGGAAATCTCAAAATAACCCATTTCTTCCATTTCCATCCCTAAAACTCACCCACAACATCCAATAAAATATTATTTTCATCCAACAACTCATCCACATCATCTAATAAAATATTATTTTCATCTAACCACTCATCCACCACATCTAATAAAATATTATTTTCATCTAACAACTCATCCATCACATCTAATAAAATATTATTTTCATCCAAACATCACTCAACTCATCTCTTTTCATCATTTCAAATCACTCACATCATCGAATAAAATATTATAACAATTCACCTCATCTCATTAACATTTCATTTCTTAGTTTTCATCCCAAAAAGTTGTGAAAACACTTTTCTTAATCTTTCTTCACATCACCCAATAATACAATGACAACTCATCTCATCTCATTTCATTTCTTATTTTTAAGAATGAACCAAACAAAAGAAAACAACAAAACTACAGGAAATAGGTTTCTTATAATTCATTTCCTTATTTTTTTCGCCAACCGAACAACATCAAAACTAGTTTTCTTAAAAAATCACTCACATCATCCAATAATAATGTGACAACTCATCTCATCTCATCTCCATTTCTTTGATTTCCTTTCAACCAAACAATTCAAAAATCCATGTTTCTTAGAAATAGTTTTCTATTTCTTTGATTTCCCATTTTTTTAAGGCAAACGAACAGGCCCTTAGAGAAAATGCAACATCAGATTATCAGCTACATATATATTGCTCAAACAAATACTACTATATATTTTATAGCGCTTAGATACAATAACATGTTCTTCGGTAAGACTTAAAAATACTACAGATGGATCATTAAGTAGGGGGAACAGAAGTAAGATTTTCAAGCAAAATCATAGCAAAGATCATGCAGACAGAGACTAGAGGCATTTAAAAATTACGCAAAAAGAAAATTACAGACACCCTAACTCATCCATCTCCAACTAGTAGGGATCATGCAGACAGAGACTAGAGGCATTTAAAAATTACGCAAAAAGAAAATTACAGACACCCTAACCCATCCATCTCCAACTAGTAGGAAGAACATACAGTATAAAGTATCATATATATATATATATATAATAATATATATATATATAATAATCTCTCTCCTAGAAGAGTCGTTGCATTGAAGGAACTACATATGGTAATACATTCAAGAACTCTATTGCTTCCCATACTAATCTTTAGAAGCAAATGACAGATGACCATGAATGAAAGAAAGCTGATAACAATGAGTAATGGTAACACTACTACTCATAGCACACTATTCGTGTTTATTATTTACACAACTTACAGAAGTACTACAAAAACATTTAGGGTGCATAAGCCATAGACATTCAAGAAATAAGAAGAGAGTCACGATGATCCCACATAAGGAAAAGGAGATACAGGTTTTCGATTTTCCTTCACTAAGAAAGATATAAGTACATCCATGCAGCATAGAACAAGTAATAATGCTTCTCATTGCCAAATAGAAGAGTAAACAATAACTAAACTGTTGGTTGACTGCCTAGTGGTCACACATCAATATGAATTTGAGAACTCTAATTAATTTGCTATAATAACTCTCTCAAAGTTAAAGGATAGTTAACCACAGTATCTATGTGACATAATAGTACTAAGATAGTAAGTTTACAAGAACATTAATATTATGATGTTACCTGTGACTCCGTCATGTATAGAACAAGCCGGCATCGATGATTCCAAGCACGATAATTCATTTTTTATTTCTGCAAAAGAAAAATATGGAGAGAATCAAGCATACAAAAAGAAAGTCTGACTATTATCTTATACCAGCAAAAACGAAAAGTTATTATCATACATCAGACACAGGTTCTATTTCTCATATCTCTGTACTATTTCTGCAGTATATTGTTAACACACCAAAATATCACCCATTTAGCAAAATAGTAGTACATGGCCAAAGGGCAATCTCCTTTGGTACATGTACTACTTAATATTGCATTCACTCTCAATTATCAACCACTCTCAATTATCATCCAGTATAATATAAAAACAGAATATGGAAATTGGATGACTCATTTACACAATTCATGAAGCTGTAATTTAATAAAACCCTTAATACTTAAAGTAGCCATATGCTGCATGGAAAATAAACCTCAGCAATATTCTTCACCAGCTCTGATTCTTTTCCTACAAGCTCCTGCAGATCGTGAACTTTTTCTGCAATCATCTTTACTGTCCACTGCCTGAAAATATACACTTTTCTTGATTATAAGTCCCACACATTGATCAGACCTACATACAAATATAAATAGAAGTAGAAATCCCTGACAAATAACAAAGGAGAAACCTTTCCATTAATGAAAAATAACTAAAAAAATAAATAATAAGAGAAAAAAATTCTAGTATCAATAAATTCATATAACTTCATTGATGCAAAATATCATGGATATTACCTATGACTCCAAGCACCTTCACTTTTTGGTGCATATGAAAGGATTAGTGCAGATAACTAAAATTCGTCCACAAATAATGATAGCTCCTGCTTTCTTGATAGGACAAGCTTCCTACCGAATGATGAATGCCACTGTTATTCAACAATAAACATAACTGAAGGTAGAATAAATCTCTGACAGTTGAGCATAATATTCCTGTTATAAACATTAGTAGTGCTTGCCACAAAAGGGCTCAATTGCATGTTTCTAACAATAATTCACATGGCTTCCTATGCAAAATTTCTAATGAAGCCCTTGAGTCTAAAGATCCTCGGAAGTACAAATGTAGGTGGATATCTAAAGAGAATATCTGCACCTGAATTAGATATTAGAATTTATAAAAACTGTCATATTAAGGAATCTCAAAATATATACCAGTGCTAGAATGTCCAAATTCTTGTAATCTAAACTAAATAGACACAACCATCTTAATGAGAAGTTACCATTAATATTATAGCACTTTAGATAAGCAACCAAAGAAAGTAAGGACAAATAGAGAAAATAAACATGTTACTGTCATCAGGAAAAGGAAAAAAAACCTGGAATTCCATGCACTCTTGAAGTCATAACTGAGAATCAAAAGTGCCCTGGTATGCTTTAGAACTTCACTTTCAAGAAATTGATCAAAATCACATCCACAGTTTGCATCATCAAAGGAACCTTTGTTTATTTGTGACCTGATTGACTGTTTATATCTTCTATTTGCATCCATATATACATTCAGAGCAGCATTATACAACTGGGGTAAAACAAGAATTGAGATAGCCAATTTATGATCTTTATTCCAGAAAACTTTCTTGTCATATTATACCACATGCAACTCTACTGTGTCTTTATTGAGGATGTCAGCTGCTGATTGACCTAGAATGCAAACGGGGGATAGTGAACTACTTGGACCTTCATTCAGAGCTGGAAACTGGTCGGGGTGTACGAAGCCTACTTCATCACTGCATAAAAATGAAAACAAAGCCATATAAACATAAATAAGTTGAAGAAGAACAACTATAATTCTGCTCAAATAAACTGAACTCGAAATCAAATAGTAAACACACATTAACATAAGAAGTAAAGTCTATGGCTTACGCACCCTAAATGATTTTGGTTCTGTAAATAATATCAGCAATTACTGCAGTCAAGTCTCAAAAAACACTTACAAATATAGAAGTGTGTAAGGGTTGGGGGATAAACGGACCAGCATATACGAAACTGACCCTGATAGCCAAATCTAAATAAAGGATAATGATCCTCTATACAGATCCATTCTAATATCTGCTTGATCTTTATAAAAAAATACGAGAATGCTATCAAATCTTCCAACCAATTCAAATATCTAATAGAATACTATCTGAAGATCCTAATATCAAAACTTCCGGTGTATCACCTAAATGAAGACTTCCTAGAAGTCACCATATGTGCATAGTAATACTTTGCAGTTGGCAAAGGAAAAAAAGGATTACAAATAGAATCAGGTAAAAACTGTATTACTAAAAAAGGTACTCCAACTGGCAACAAACAATTAGACTTTGATCCCTCTTGGCCATTGATAAAGGGGATTATTTACAAATTTTAATGAATCTGGCCAATTTGGAATATTAAGAGGGCTTTAAACAAATCCTTCTAAGCACTTGTTACGTAAAGCATTTTATTAATGTAATACAGGCTTCTCTTTTCTTGCTCTCCTGCGGAGCACCAAAGTTGCAAGAAAACAAAAATGCAATTCATTGCTAAGAAGTAGCCCCTAAGAACTGGCAGTGCGATATTCAAATATTCCTGCAAGCCAAGGAATGGAAGGGCACTATTGGGACAATGAAATTCTATCAGTTCAAGTTCTGTTCTCCTCCAATCAACAACATCACATTTGCACAGCGTTGCCTTCAAGCGGGATTGGCTATGCTTATCTTGCCATATCACAGTAGTGTATGCCTTTAAATCAAGAGATGCATTTAGTGAATAATCCTTTGCCCAAGAATTTACTGAATTTCAATCAGAATTGCCCCTGGCCTTAGTGCTGGTTGATTTTCAACACTATTTTGAATACATTTGAAGAGAAAATTGCGGAGGGTTTTTCTCCAGTTTCAGATTCAGATACACTTGACTTCCAAAATTTCATTAAACTCTAGTTAAATTGGCTTCATCTCAAATCATTCGGTAATTTTATTACCTGGTCAAATAAACAAAATCGCTCAAAGAGTAGAATCTGCCGAGCTCCACGGCTTGACAGAATTCTGGTAAATGAAGATTTGGACTTCATCAATACACTTCCAGCCAAGTTGAGCTTCTTAGTGCCAAAGTTGTTCTGATCATTCACCTGCTCTGATTACTATTGGGTGAGGATAAATTGATAAGCAAAAAGCCTTATAGATTCTCTTAATCAATGTGGATCAGGCATCCATAATTTTTCTTTCCAGCTGCTCAAATCTGTCTGGGAACCAAAAGTATTAGAGGATATATAACATTGCTTACAAATTCCATGCTATAGCTTAGCGCATTAAAGCCATGCTTCTCAAAAGAGCTTAACAAGAAGCCATTTTATCCGCTTGCATCAATTGAGCAATTATCAGAGCCAAAATGAATCTGTCGATATTCCAGAAAACAGTTGGCTGATGATCTTCTCTAATTCCAACCTGATTGCCTAAGAGAAAAGAAGGTATCAAAAATATTATCAGAATTGCTGAATTGTGTCGCAAATTCTTTCTACAAGCATAAAGCAAATATTTCGTGCGCAGCTACATGGTGGCAATGCACCCAATTCTTTTCATTTCTGTCATGAAAAACAAGCAGGCATCATAACAGGGTTCTGTCAATATATAATGAGAGGGAAATTAGAATTATTTGAGATGCCATGGCATTCATTGAGGACAGGTTTACTGAAACTATTTAACAAAGGATCTTGCCGGGAACTGCTTACAAGTGTTTCTAAACCTGATTATGGGTATTTATCTCAAATGCGCGTCTACTCTTAACTCCAGTTCAAAGCTCAAAGCTCAGTACTCCTGTCAGCAGAGAGGAAATCCAAAAAAGCTAGTGTTCTCTATGCTCTGATCACAAAAGCCAGCGACGCGATGGTTTTAATTGCTTGCTTCTTCCAAGTCAGGCAACTGGGACATTATCAATGAGGACCTATGATCTAGCTGGTTGAGGAAATTCTTTTCAACAAAGGCAAAGCTTCTTGGCGACGGTTTAATTTCTACTACAATTCTTTTAATCCCAAAACTCTTAATCCAAGAACTGCTGCCCAGCATTTTCGACCCATCTCTTGTTGCATATCTGATATATAAAGCTCATTTTCAAAATCCTACGCTGGAGCAGTGCAAAGCTGTCATGCGGCTATCTCATTTAGTGACTGCACGAAAGTGCATTTATCAAGCGGCGAGACTCATCTCTAGTAATTATTCTTCTAGCCTCATGAACTAATGAAAACCTATGGCAGAAAGCATACCTTCTCCAAGCAGCTATGTTAAATGCTTGGATTCTGAGGAAGCGCATGTCGATTCTATCAACTGGGATTTCTATCAGAGCCATTGATTGCAGGGTTTAAACTTTCCCAAGTATCTATGATTAATTGGCGCTTATGCGAATGCATATCAACTCCTAAATACTTCTCTTGCCTCTAAATGGCATCTTTGCGATGGCATATTTAAAGGCTTAAGAGGGCGTCTAAAGACAGAGATCCTCTTTCTCCTTACTTGTTTGCTCTTAGGCGCATGGAAATATCTATCAAGAGTTTAAATGCCCTTAGAACATTGATAAACCTCTTCAAATATCATTCCTAAGTGCTCAAAGTCTTTGGATTACTCACCCTGATATTTCGCCCAAGTATGCATCTTCTCTCTTTTTGCAAAAGCTGATGGATACGCTCAATCATGAAAACTGTTCTATTGCCTTCAAAGATGTTGCAGCAGGCCGTGTCTGGTTTAGGAAGCTAATCACTGCTAAATGCTCAGGTATTCTTCAGTGCGCAGTTGATGCACATTGATCTGAAAAAATCAAGCTCTGCTCCTTATTTGAATTTACCTGAGGGGATGCTTACCTATTCGTTATCTTAGGACATCGCCACTCATATTCTAAGCAGACTATTCCTATTCTTGATTGCTCTCTTCTATAAGCCAAAATCAATGAGAAATTTCTTCCCCACTTGGACCAGAAAAGAAAATGCCTCTCTTATGCCCTAGGAAGAATTCAGCTAATCAAATCCAGTTATTATTGCCGGTATTCCAAATCTTTTGACCAGTAACTATATCTTGCCGGTCAAGGTACTGGAGGAAAATTGACTTACAGAATGTGCTCGATTTTTCTTCTGGAATACAACAAAATTTCATCTACGTATTCTTGGCGAAAAGTATATGTCGAATGGGAAAGAGCAGGGTGGACTGGGCTTATATTCAGCTAAATCTGCGAATCTTGCTGCTGCTATTAAGTTGCTTTGGATGATACATCATGAAAAAAAGACATGCTTTGGATAAAATGGATCATGAAAAATTATGCTGCATCAAACTGATATCTGGCCCATATTCAATCTAACAGCATCGCGACTCATGGTTGTTGGAGGAGACTTTTGGAAAAATCAGAGACATGCGCCAGTAAGCAAATTTGAAGTGCAAAACAATTCTTTATAAATACCATTAACACACTGCCATAGTGGTCTGTAAATTCCTTATCTCTCTGTTTATAAAGGCTCTGATTCAGCTTTTCCCCTCCTGCTTCCTTGCCGTTTAATACTGTCTGGGAAAGACTAAACTTACCCGAAACACTCTTTCTGCTGCTTCTGGCTTTGCACTCTCAGCTCCAGGATTACCTAACTCGCGCGATAGGTTATGTAAAATGAAATATTTATAACCTCAAATCAATGTTGTTTCTATGTTTACTGGTCCATTCACCATAGCTGAGGAAAACATGTCAACCATCTTTTATCCCTTCGATTTGCCCTTATTCAGCCTCAGGTCTGGAATACTGCAATGGATTGGAATGAACTTTTTCCTGGAGGTCCTGTAAAACTTCCGCTTGCATCTGTTTGCATTTGGCGTACAACAACATATCTAAGCGCGGACAAAGGCTTTAAGAAGCAGCGCTCAACGAGGCATTGGCTACTTGGCACAGTCACAGTTTACTTAGTGTCGGATGAGAGAAATTTAAGAGCTTTTCAAGGAAAATCCCGTGCAATCAGTTTACTTCTTTTCAGACTAATTAAGGTTTATTGTTTTTACTAAAATTTTGAATGATATACATTGATCATGTTTAGATAGCAGTTTAGAGGAAATAACCAAGTTGTAATTAGTTTGGTTTTCCAGCGAAATATAGCTGACAGTCCGGTATACTATGATGTTACTTACAATTTTTTTCTTTTTTTTTCAAGGTGCGTTGATTGAATAAATTAAACTTTCATTGACCTAAAAAAAAAAAAAAAACGTAAGCCTCAAGTCTTGCCCGACCCTACCCAAATTGGTCCATCAAATCTATATAACCCTCAATCTTTGTATCTTTCTAAATATATTAATTATAAAGATAAAACTACACTCTTAATTACCACTTCCTTATCATTTAAGACTCTATATTTTACCACTTTCTTTTATCATTTTATTAATTCCTTAACTTTTTATATAAATTCACAAAAATCACCCAACTTAAAAAAGTTGGTGTATGATTAGCAGAGACTTAGATTGTAGTATTTAAAAGCGACAAACGGTTAATAGTGACCAGAAACAATATATCTAAATTTACGCCTTTTAAAAGACTATGATTTCTCGAGGAATAGCGAAAATATACTAAGCATGCACAAGATTCTTCAAACGGTTAGCATCCCAGGAGTCTATCTAGCACGCAAGAACATGAACAATTGAGTGACAATATCTAAATTTCATGGTAATCCATAGAAATATTCAAACTAACAAAGGCTAATTAAAAGATAATTAATCCAGAACAACATGCTCATCTGCCTATCCTTCTAGTTATATCTTCATGTTAATCCTTCATTATTATTCATTATAACCGAACACCCCTCGCTGCGGCCCCACGCCTCCACCCATGTCCCCCACCTGTCGAATGCTCAACACCGACTGAATATCAACAAGTACCACTTTCAGACCTAATATCCGTGCTCCAAGCCCAGGAACTTGAAACCAACATCCCTATGAACCCTAACCCCAAACTTCACCACTGCGCGTCAACCGAATCAGTCTCATCATTAACATAAACCCAACCGTCCCAAT